CTTCTGAATATTTTTGTATGGTATTCCAACATGCTTGCATTGGTACAAATGGTTGTAATTCACAAGAAGTGCCACTTGCCAATGCTGCTCTGTGGTGTGTTGTGTTACCTGTACTGCTGTTGTACAAACACGCTGATGAGTGTTGTGAGCAATGTTTGCCTTTAGTCTTGGCTCAGGTACTCGTGTGGAGCAGTTTGGTGCTTTTCCTTCTGACTTGTAATACTTGGAATTCTAAGCAGAAAATAAAGTAGTAAACAAAAAGCCTTGTGGTTGGAGCAGTGCTTTAAAAGGTGCTTCTTTCACACCTCAATGCAAGAAAGAGAGTTTGATAGATAGGATGAAGCTTGGCTCAGCATCTTAACTCCAGCACCTTAGTCTTCATGAATAGGAAATTCAATAAAATCAAAGTGTTTGCTCAATCATACAGTTTATATAGAGCATCATATGTATAAAACTTGTTCTCAGCTAAATTAGTATATTTCATATTATTATATTTTAGAGGTGAATTGCACGGAACTTAGCAAGCAATGCTATCAGCATTTTCATCTTCATGGCAATTTAATTCAAACATACATGAACATTACTTCCTGTGCCATAAAGGCTATATAATTAGTACAGACACTTTGAAAACATTTGATTTCTTGAAGATGTTTATCAAAAAAACCTAATGCTTAAATTTGGGTGCATTAAAAAGGCAGCACCCTGACATCTAGCTTTGACAGCATTTGTTAAACTTAGCTACTGTCCTCAAAAGTGAGGATGCAATTCAATTCAGTCAGTGTAAGTATACTAATAGTATTTTAATATGACTGTGTTCTGCTTATATTTGACTTTCTCTGAAGGAAAGAATTGAAATTACTAAAAAAAGACCAACCCACACATTAAAATGAGCTCTAGGTCTAAACAGACTTTTTAGCTCCAATAGTTGCTCAGAGCTTCAGCTCACAGGAAGCAACAATACAAACGTGTAAGGATTTTTCTTTTAGACAGCTCACAGAACATACAAGCTAATTGAGTCTCTTACATATCTGCATGCTTCATCAGTCACCCAAATTGCCTGAGTTCCTCCACTAATAAAGCTTGTTTCATACTTGCAGGTGGCTTCAGTATGTTTTACAAGTTGAATATACTGCATTTCCCCAGTTCTTTGTAAAGAAATCAAAGCAATAAATTAACTGAGGGGGGAAAAAGGTAGAAGAAAACAGCCAGCTCTTCTGGCTTTTTTTTTTTCCCTCGTCCTCTTTCCAAAACTAAAGAAGGAACTAAATTCTAACTGTAAATCTTGTAAATCAAACTGTCAGTCTTGTCTTTCCCCTTTCTGTCATTTTCTCTACAGGAGCATATTTCTACTTCTAGCTGAAATAAGTATCTACCTAGAAGACCAACAAAGAGAGTTCCCTTATGCTGGGACTTGCCTTTTTCAAGTTATTCTGGTGCTACTGCTCTGTTCTTGATGAGATCACTATCTGGAAGTTGAGTGTTATGAAATATAATTGATGGGGCTTGATGGGTTTTCTTTTTTGTGGTAATGATTTTTTTTAAAATCCAAATACGCAGAATAATAAACAAGCTGGATAAATTATCTTGATTTTTTTACATACTACTGTAGTCACAAGAATAACACTGCTGGGATTTTGTTTACTGTGTTGCTAATGATGTTTGGATGTCCAAAACATCACCTTCCTGGAAGGGTTGTGGCAGATTTTTATTTTGCTTTCAAAATTTAAACCAAAGAAAAATGTAAAGCTTCTAGTCAGACATAAACATCTACACTCTGGAGTAAGGTGATGGTCAAATATTTTTAATTTTAACATGTCTATTTAGGGATATATTTTTTATGTGATATTAAACCATGTATCATCTGCATAGCAGAGAGAGAGTGCAGTGAAATAAAAAAATATGAGCAGCTTTGATATGAAGAACACTATGCACTAAGGCCAACGTAAATTAGCAGAGTCCTCCTTGCAGCCCTTGTCTCAGTTTCTAATGTGACAGGCGGATATTAACTGCTGATAAAATCAGGGAAGGAAAGCAATGCTTCCATTAAAATATTATGATTTTGGACTTTTCCCTCTCTTTTTCCAGCATCAAGAGAGGGATCCATATCTCATTTGCTTGAAAACCATTAGTCACCAGGCTAGAGATATGGCTAATTACTTTTAACTAAAAATAATATTTTGATAAAGCTGTGCCATTTCTCCTGGGAATTGTTTTAAACTTCCTGTATGCCTACTACCAATTTTCTGCAATATGGCTTGGGAGGAATTTGTACTGCACTGTTCGATAGCAACAGGTCTGAAGAGTATCAAGGATGAAATTCTCAAGGGTCTTTATGTCGTGGTTGGAAATGGAATCATTACTGTATTTTTGAACTCCTGCTAACGTCATTGACACCCACCTACATTCTACTAGAAATATAAGTGCAGAGATCAGGTTGTTCACAGATTACTAGGAGACCAACCAAGAAGGGGCAAGCCAAAGCCAAATTCCCTGGTAAGCTCTATTTTAAAGAGAGGGAGAATTCCTTTTCTCCCCGAGTCAAGTTGTGAAATGGATCTCTAGTATGTTAGACCAGGCTGTATTAAATACCATTGCACTTACTATTATATGTAGTAAAATGTAATGCAGTTTTAAAAAACTGAGCTGTCTGGATCTTGGGCCATATTTTTGCATTCTCCTTGGAGTACATAGAGTTCTGGTGCTGTATTAGCCACTGAAAATGGCTTTATGTAATAAATGTAAACTTACAAATGTAATATGTTGTGCTGAGTATTCTACTGGTCCCTCAGAAGAGAGTCCAGTGTCTAGAAATAGCTTTGGTGTGGGAAACACTTGTTTAGAATAATTTTTTCTTCCAAGTACCTTAAGACTATGAAAACAAAGAGTTGATAGCACATGGATGTAATCTGCAGTGGGCAGACTTTCCTTGGATTCACATGATCAGTGACAGCTCTGTAGGATTTAAGTAGTATGTCTGTTTGCCCTTCTTACAGACACTCTGTTCATCTCCAGCATGTGGAAAGTGCTGCTCCTGGGTCTGTACATGGTATTGGCTGTGAGAGGATTGGCAAAGGGTGCTTCTTTCCAGCCAGAAGATAAATGGAAGCCTCTTGATAACCCCAGAAACAGGGACCTGGTAAGGAAATGTTTCAAGTAAGAAAGCTGAAGTTCTGTGTGGTTTTTTGTTTTCCATTAAAAGACTCCTTATCGTCTAAATTTAAAGGCAAGAGGGGCCCATTAGATGTAAAATTAGGAGCAGTGCACTTTGTATGGTCAATAACAATTTCTCAGTCAAGATGTACCCCTTCACTGAAGAGACATTCTCAGAGCACAGTAGTGCATAAAACATGCTTATATCTCCATCCAGCAGCTTTCATTTTTAAGAAATTATTTTGATTATACAGCCACTTGTTTTATGAAACAGAAGAGGAATGATTACCGTGTTTCTTTCCAATGTGTGCTCTGATTGCATGTTGTTTCATCTCATGGAAGTACAAATAAGTCTGCATCTGACAGCTATGAAAATACCACTCAGAGAACATTTACACAATCTTAAAAAGAATTTGTGAAGGAAAGGAATCATTTCTTTGTAATATTTCCTCAGTGTTTTAAGAACCTTTAATTTCCCCCTGGAAGTGATTGTAAGGGGACAGTTCAATTCATTTGCCCGTTGTTGCTGACTCTGACCAAAATGTTTACAGAAGTGTCCTGTTTGCTCTCAGCAGGGCTTTGCCTGTGCCTGTTTTACAAGGGTGCAGTTATCTCACAGCCCCTGTGGTTCAGTGGGGAGCACAAATGAGCAGGACACAGTTGCTGCTCTTCTGACATCAGATGCACAAGCCATGGATGGAGTGGGCATGTCTGAATTAGGTTACCTGCACTGTATCAGGTTATGATCAGAATAGAGGATTTCATCCCACAGAAGAATAAATACTACAGCTAATGTGTCAGTAGAAATAATTAATCTCCATGGGTCATGCTCTATTTATTTTCACATCCATGGTCTGTTCAGTTTTTCAGAACACTCCAGGCTTACTTCTCGGGCAGGGGTCTCGATCTCAGAAAGTTCCCAGCTACTTTCACTGTGAACAATGAAGGACCAAGGCTCTACTCAGATCCTATTCCTTCTGCATTTGCAGATTATGAAGAAAAGAAAAAATCCTTTCAGAACTACTTCAAAGACTGAAAGATTCTGCTGATGAAGGTAAAAGAGGGTGCCTTGTCCTCTAATGTTGTTATGTGTAACCAAGAAAGATTCTGACTGAAGTATAAAAGTAACCTCTTTCTCAGAAGGAATTAAAAATGTAGTACCTTAACCCTTGCCTGAAGTGGGGTTTAAAATTCTTGAGGCAGAGATTTATGAGGTCGTTACTACTTAGATAAAATAACACATGGTACTTGTGAGGAGGAGTAAACAGACCATGATTTTTTTCTTTTTTCTCCCCTCTGTCATATGGAGGAGAATTCTGAAAATGTAGATAATAGGGGATGCAGGTTTTATGGAAGGAATTGAAAAGAGTAAGATTACAAATTGAGATTAATTAATGGTTTCTTGTGATATATGTATATTAAGAAAATTAATTTAGGCATAAGTTATTGCACTAAGAAAGCATACATTATCTTTTACATTCATGGGAAATACTGTTTTCTTCTGGTTTATAAATAGCTGAGAATTTCAATAAGATTTAAATCAAAGCATTTTGGTGATTTACTCAGTATCTTAAAGTGATTAATTTGTAATCAATATTCAGCTTTGGATTTCCAGCTCTGTCCTGTTCTTGGCCTGCTTAACACTTGTCTGTTTATAATCAAAATCAAAGCTTTATTCTTAATATGAACCATAATAAAGATTGCATTCAAATTTTAATACTAAATTCTCTTTTTGCTGAGTTATTATATCAGGAAAAATAGAATCACCACAGAATCTGTATTTTGTGTGCATAAAATAAAATGAAAAGGGAATTCAGAAGGGATGCTCTCCTGTAAGTCACAGCAGCAGTGAGAAAATGACTGGTGGAAGTTTTGTCCTGCATAATTCAGAATGGTCATGGCAGTGCTTGTCAGTGTTCAGAACTGTTTTATGGGAACAGAGGTTCAGCCAGTGTTTTCTTGTCTTGGTTTGGATCATACCTTGGTTGCATATATAATACAGAAATATTAGTCTCACTATTAGTATTTTTTTGGTCTTTTTTAGGCATTGACTTCAGAACTCCATGCCAAATGGAAACCTTCACAGCAAAATTTTACTGCTTTGACTTTTTACCTGTTAGCTGACAATTCCAAAGTCTCTTCACTGTCACCGTTTCTGCCGATGGAATGTGGTGTCCTGCTGCAATGAGCATTATTCTGTCTATTGACAAATGCGTGCTCTTCAGCTACTGCAGTCTGTGAGCAGAATTGTGCTTAAGCGTGAATAAATGAGGAGTGCAACAGCCACTGCCAAGCGTCTTTGTTCAAAGCTGGGAAATAAACGTTCCCTTTCAGATTAATATCAGATTAATAGCAGAGCTGCCCCAAGGTGTTCTGTGACAAGTTTTCCGATGCTCTGTGGGTACAACCCCTTTCTTGGTGGCCTGTGGCTGCGTGTGCCGCACCCTGCCCTGGTCAGCAGTGCCCCATCGCTCTGTGTTGGAGTTAAAGCCGCTCGGCGGTGAAGCTGCCGGGGAGCAGAGGCGGCCGGGGGAGCGGAGGCGGCCGGGGAAGCAGAGGCGGCCGGGGCAGCAGAGGCGGCCGGAGGGGCAGAGGCGGCCGGGGGAGCAGAGGCGGCCGGAGGAGCGGAGGCGGCCGGAGGGGCGGAGGCGGCCGGAGGGGCGGAGGCGGCCGGAGGGGCGGAGGCGGCCGGGGCAGCGGAGGCGGCCGGGGGAGCGGAGGCGGCCGGAGGAGCGGAGGCGGCCGGGGGAGCAGAGGCGGCCGGGGGAGCTGGGCGGCCGGAGGAGCGGAGGCGGCCGGGCGAGCAGAGGCGGCCGGGGGAGCAGAGGCGGCCGGGGCAGCAGAGGCGGCTGGAGGAGCAGAGGCGGCCGGGCAGCAGAAGCCGCCGCGCCCGGCGCCCGCCCCTCGCTCCCGCCCTGCCCTCACGGCCCCTCCGCCGCCCGGAACGCGCGCGGGCGGCCGCGGCGGCGGCGGGCGCCATAGCGGGAGGGAGGCGGTGCTTCCCTCACACGGCTCCCCCGGGCCGCGGCGGAGCCATGTCGGGCTTCAGCCCGGAGCTGATCGAGTACCTGGAGGGGAAGATCTCCTTCGAGGAGTTCGAGCAGCGCCGCGAGGAGCGCAAGAGCCGCGAGAAGGTGAGCGCGCCCCGCTTGGCCGCCGCACGGCCCGGGCCGCCGCCCTCACGCCAGCACCTGCAGGGCACGGCCCGGCGCTCTGCGCGTGGAGGGGCCCCGGCGCTGCCCCGCGGCTGCGGAGCCGCGAGCGCCGGTCACCGGGACTCGCGGGGAGTGGCGGCTGTGCGGGCCGGCACCGCCCGGACGCGGAGTCCGTGCTGCGGGTCGCGGCCAGGGGCTGGCTCGGGTCTCGGCTCCGCCGGGCTGTGCTGCTGCAGCTCCCCCAGCACAAGGAGCTGGCTCGGGTCTCAGCTCCGCCGGGCTGTGCTGCTGCAGCTCCCCCAGCACAAGGAGCTGGCTCGGGTCTCGGCTCCGCCGGGCTGTGCTGCTGCAGCTCCCCCAGCACAAGGAGCTGCTCGGGTCTCGGCTCCGCCGGGCTGTGCTGCTGCAGCTCCCCCAGCATCATCTGAGGGAGAGAGCCGGCGCGGCTCCTCGTTTGACTTCCTGGCAGCAGTGAATATAGGGAGACACGGTTGTGTCCGACGCTATGTAGGCGGTGATTAAAAGAAAGCACGCGCGATCTGTCGGAGTGTTGCAGTTCCTTTTAACTTCGCTATATTTGTGACAACGTGCTGCTGAATTTCTGCATTTCTTGGTCTTCAGAGGGCAGATTCAGCAGAACTCAGCTGCTATGGAAGGACAAGTGTTAGCCTAGGGCAGCGTTCTTACAGGAATAATGAGTGCTGTTTTTGTATTGACAGGCTTCTGGAAGGATTTGTCACACAGAACTTTTTCTTTCTAATACAGTCAACCCCACCTCACTGTAGTTCCCAATAAGCAATGGACTGGTCTCTTTGCAATGTGAACAATCACCATCTGAGTCTCCCCACGTTGATAAAAATATAAATGTCTTGAAAGCAAGTAATGTTGGGTTTTAGCCACTTAAAAATACAGTGCTTATGCTACCTGTTTCACTGGCAGTGCAAAGGCTGGAAAGCCAAATGGTAACTGGAAATATATGGGGGAAATAAAAAGGGGTAACACTATAAAGGTAATAATTTGGTTTTTTATGTGTGTAGGATCGTGAAAATGCATCTGCTGAGGAAAATGAGGAAGATGTAGAGGCTCCATCTTCATCCAGAAAAGCATCTGGGAAATCCCAAAGTCAGGATGAAACTGATGGTTGGTGTTTCTAATATAATCATTCCTATTTAAAAAGGCACTGGAAGTATTTGCTCTTCAATACTTAACTTCATAAAAATCTGGCTCCATTTTTCCACTTCTGGTCTCTGAAGGGACTGAAATAAAAGAGAAATTAATAATTATGTTTTATTCAGATGGGGGCAGAGGAAGAAAAGTATTGTGTTTAGATGCTTAATGTGCAAGTCAGAATCAAAATTATCAAATATATCCCAGTTGAAAAAAATAACCATAAAACCCAGGTGTGCTCCCCAAGTCCCTCTCCTATATAGGCAATACGTGGTAGATTTGTTTTTCAGTCCCTACTTGATACTGTAGCTATTTTTTAGTCAAATCTTCATTGTCCAATCTCCCAGCTCAAACCTTTGAACCCTACATATTTAGAGTTTTGTGTATAGATCTGTGGTCAGTTATAACCCTGGGTTCACTTCATAATGAGAAGTTAAAAATAAAAAAATGGGAAATTCTTAAAAACTATATGCCTTAAACATATTTATTCAGAGTACTTGGCATAGTTTTCTTACTTACTTTAAAGAATTCTGTTCTTTTTCCAGAGAAATGCAAAGAACATGGATTTTGTATTTACACATGTTAGAAGGTACTTGTTGCCATGGATGGAATGGTTACAGGATCTTGTTTTCAGTTACTTCAAAACATTGGTTGTTCCTCATTGCTCCGTAGTAGACCTCTCTGCTCACTTACAGCCTCTTCAGCTGAAAAGCTTATTGCAGCCAGCCAGCTCAATGCATGAAAACTGCTTAATATTCTCATGCATTGAGAAAAATGTTGATTAAACTGTGGCTTCATTCTCTGTGTTCCTTTTTTTTTCATTTCAGATATCCAAAAGATGTTACAGGCTGGGCCATAGCAAGCATTGGTGATGAATAATAATGCAGAGCTTTAAAACAAAGAGGCTGTCAATAGTTTTTCTGCATTTCTGCAGGCAGCACTCTTACAGAATAGCTGCTTCAAATGGGCTGCTGTTTTCTCTACAGTTGTCCAGGGAAGCAACGTGTCCTCTTCATTATATCATAAACCTATTGTACTTCTTTCTCAACCAGGAGAAACAGCAGACGGGGTCAGTAAATCTGTCCATCGGGTCTTTGCATCCATGCTTGGGGAAAATGAAGAGGAGGAGGATGAAGAGGAGGAGGAAGAAGAAGAAGAGGAGGAGGAGCAAGAAGAAACTACAGAGCAGCCTACAGCTGGAGATGTTTTTGTTTTGGAGATGGTTCTTAATCGAGAGACCAAGAAAATGATGAAAGCAAGTATTTAAACTTTCATATAACTTCCATGTATCTCCTGACCATACTGTACAAATGCCACTTTGTGTGACTTCTAGCTGCTTACTGAGAAATTTGCCTGGAAATTGTTCCAAGTAGGATAATAGTCCTGCTTATGCTGATGTTTGTTATGCTGTCTTTGTTGATTATAAAAGCGCTGTAGTTTACTGTTTGAAAGCTTTCAGAAATCGTGAAATCAGTTTTCCCAGTGTCAGAAAGTTATGAACATTAGCAAGTCTTTTAGTCAGTCATTTATTATTGCTAGTACTTAAATAACTTGGTGTTAGGTGGTGTTAAGGACAGCAGGATGTCTCGTGAATTTGGGCACAAGTCAACCTTGGGCAGAAACAGCATCCCTTTCCATTTAGGAGAAAAGACCTCGCAGCAAACTTCCCCGTGCCTTGAGGGGTCTGATGGGAGAGGCCAACATCAGATTTGCTCGAGGAGAGCGTGAGGAGGCCATTCTGATGTGCATGGAGATCATACGACAAGGTATGGGAGAATGGGCAAACCTTTGGGCTTTACAGATGGGGTGAAGTTTCCATGTGCAGGAGCAGGATTAAGTGTGGCTTCACTGAAGATGAAAATAAATGGTACAAGCAAAGTCAGGGTATAAGGAGTAGAATTAAGAATATGTGGTGCATTTCCTTTATTTTTTTGCTTATAAAAAGAAACTAGCACCCCAATTCCACAGAGGCCCAAGCCTTGGCTTAGCTTTACACAGTTTGTTTTTACTGTCTTTGTAGATGCAAAGTATAAGCATCAGCATGCCTTACAGTGTAGAATAATACTATAATTGGTTGTTGCTAGATTCAGTCAAGCTGTTTAATAATTTACAGACAGGAATCAGAAACTTATCTGTAAGTTTTTCCTGAATTTAAACAGCACATGTTTCATAATTCTGATACCTGTTCTTTGAGAAAGGCAAGTTATTTGTTTCCAGTGTGGATTTTAGACAATAAATCTTAGTAATTCTTTTTTGTTTTTTTCACAGCTCCTCTTGCTCATGAGCCATTTTCCACTCTTGCCATGATCTATGAAGACCAGGGTGATATGGAGAAATCACTGCAGTTTGGACTGATTGCGGCTCACTTAAATCCTAGCAATACTGAGGAGTGGGTTAGACTGGCAGAAATGTCACTGGAGCAGGACAATATTAAACAGGCTGTTTTCTGCTACACAAAAGGTAGTGTAGCAAACATTTTAAGAATTTAAAATCAATGCTAGGTGCTAATGGCAATAATATTGTTTTCTTCTCCTTTCTAGTTTAGTTTGCTTCAGGGTGATAGAATTCTGATACCTCTGTCTGGATTTTGATAAAAAGTCAATGAATCTGTAATACAGGATGCCCTTGCAAGAACCCTGTGCATATTCATTAACATGAATCAAGGAAATGAATGCGAAATCCACTGCTGCCTTTTCCTAAACTCCTGCTATGCTGCTGCTTCTTCCTGTAGCTCTGAAGTACGACCCGACCAACGTGCGCTACCTGTGGGAGAGGTCCAGCCTGTACGAGCAGCTGGGGGAGCAGAAGATGGCCATGGATGGCTACCGGCGCATCCTGAACCTCCTGGCTCCCTCCGACGGGGAGCGCTTCATGCAGCTGGCCCGAGACATGGCCAAGTGAGCTGGGATTTGCTTAGCCACAGGAGCCTGGTGGTTAAAGTGTGTAGCTGTCACACACTGGTTTTTGCCTGTGAACTTCTTTCTTGTGGAAAAGTCTTAACTGCCTGTTTCAAAACAATTTAAGATCTTTTGATCTCCACGTTTGGAAAACGTACCAAAAAATACAAGGATGTGTATTATAACAATGTTATTAGAGAAGGTTTCTTAAAGCAGGTTAATGTGGTACATGATTGTTGCCTGACTCCAATGGGGGAGGCTGTGATGAAAACTCCAGTAATGTCCTTACAAACAGGGGAGAAAAAAATTGTTAATTATGTGAAATATGTAAAAG